ACGGCACTAGCATCCCGTATCGATCCAGTTTGTGTGCGTGTGGATACCGGTAGAGGCACGACGTTTGGAGTGCTTGAAATCTCGACTTGGTTCATTCATCCTTCCGCTGCAGAATAACCAGGTATATTCAAAGAACCTAAAGATCTAGGTTATTTCAGTATTAGCATGAGATTCTAGGCAAATAGAATTCATAAATTGATTTATAAATCGTTATAAACCGGTATGAATTTCCTACAGTTGGATGGTTGAAACAACTAACAGCTTAAACCAGTTCTTAAGCCAGAAAAAAATGAACTGAAAATTGATTCCTCACTTCATTACGTACTGGTTAGAAAAAGTCCTTAATTAGAAAAAAACTATGGGGGTACGTTTTGGTCTTGTTGGATAGAAAAAACGAGCAATCTCATAAAGAGTCTTACGAAAATTCAACATGGTAAAGTATGAGACTGTTTTTGTGAAGTAGAGACTAATTAATTCTGGTTTCCTCAGGTGTTGTATGTGTTTCAAAATACTCAGAGAAGATTTCAAGTGTAGCAGAGTTCTTTGATAGGTATGTTATTTTGCTCTCTCTCTTTTTTGTTATTTAATACAATTATGGAAATCACAAGAGAGAGATAAACACATAAAATTAACAAATCAGTTTCATTTGTTTAGGTATATACTTGCGTGACTTTTCTCTCTTTTAATCGGTATGGTTAAGTTTGTGTCTGAGGAGAAGCAATGGTAACCAAAAAATTCGTGAGTTTGAAATTATGAACTGAATTAATGGGCTTCATTAGGCCAAGTTTAAATATTCGGCCACACTTTTATCTGCAGGAGGACCGTCCGATTGAACATATATTCCTTACTGCTTTAAAGATCCAACGATACATAAATAATAGCACGCGAGCTATTCTAGGTGTGGATAGGATTACATTATTTCATATTTGATATCTTTTAAAAAAGAAAACAAAATCTTGTTAAAATATATTATGTTTTTAAAAATAAAAATACAAAAATAAATAAAAAATAATAATACTTAATAAAAACGAAAATAATTCTTTTTAAATAAAATATTTTAACACTAAATCCTAAACTCTAATCATAAATCCTAAACCTTTGGATAAATCATAAACACTAAATTTTTAAAAAATTATAAGATTTATCAAAAAGTTTATGATTTATCCAGGGATTTAGGGTTTAGGATTAAAGTTTAGGGTTTAGTGTTAAATATTTTATTTAAAAAAAATTATTTTTGTTTTTATTAATTATTATTTTTTATTTATTTATTGTTGTATTTTTTATTTTCAAAAACATTATATAATTTAATAAGATATTATTTCCTTTTTAAAAAATATCAAATAGCAATAATGCATTTCTATTGGATGGTGATGTCATAGCACATCTAGGGTAATATCTCCATACTTTGTTTAACCTAGGGTTTGCGTGATCGTTTGGGTTTCTTCTTCCTCCTTTGCGGTTTCATTTTAGGGTTTGAAGTTTCCGTAATCGTTTATTAATGGTTTTTTGTAGTGCTTGACTCCACATGAAACCGTCGTCGAGGTACGTCTTTGTCTACAATAGAATATTGTGTTTGTTCTTTTATCTGACATGAGCGATGTTTTTGATAAATTGAACGAGTAAATTATTGTATACATTGTTGATTGATTATATATATACACGTGAAGCGTATGTTCAGACAAAGATTTTTTTGTTTTGAGTTCTAAGACTATTCTTGTTATTTTCTCCGTTCAAGTAAGAAAGTATCTCATTTTATCTGTCTCTGTTTTTGTTTTCTTGTTTTAACAGTGTATTTGCGTGGAGAAAGCCATTGTTGACAGATTCCATTACATCCATAATTCTGAACAGGGTCACTGAAACAGTTGAAGTAAGTTCTATCTCTCGAGCTACTACCGCCTGATATAATATTTCAAACCCAAGATATCAGTAGATAATCTTGGGCTCTACCGATTCATACATTAATTTTAGTTTTATCAAAACCCTAAAAAGTTCATAGGAAGACACTAATCTAATAGTGTTTTACTAGACTCTTATTTGTGAACATTGTCACGTCGGTTGGTAGTGCATGTCTTTGAGGATGGAACTTTAGTAGCCACAGCTTTACAAAAATGACCAATGGCTTAAAAATAATCTCAAGGTAAAGACTGTAAATTTGTTGGATGGATTCAACGATCAACAATGACCAAAGATTTACAAATGTATTTTAGCAAATTTTACGGATACGTTGGATGGATAAAACGATCAACAATGAACAAAATATCTTTAGACAAAGGTTTCAGAAGGAAAAAAAATAAAAATAAAAGGTCTTTGAGGCAATGATTGTGATACCCTCGGCTTAGACCATCTGCAACGGTCAATAATTCAAGTCCTTAAGTCTAAATCCTTACTGCTTTTTGAATTAAAAAATATAAAGTAATAGCAGTTGATCAAGGATTGATCCTTAAGTAAGAGGCAGAAGGACCAAATCCTTACTGACGTGGCAGCTGCTGTGAAGTAAGTATATAATTTAAAAAAAAAAAAAAAAATTCATTTCGACACCATCTGGAAAAAAAAAAACTGTGGGTGAAGTGAGAAGCGATTTCGAGAGTTGGATTATCAGAGTAAATCCTTGTCTTTTGTTGTTGATTTATGGAGGTAATCGACTAGAGTTTCAATTTAGGGATCTTGCATGATGTTTTTCTCGGGATTTAGGGTTCAGGGATGTGTATTCGAAACGATTTGGGGATTTTTTGATTTGGGGTTTTTTCGATTTGGGTCTTTCAATCGATTCGAGTTTGATTTGGTTAGTACTTTATGGTTAGTGACGAGTTTTGTTCTTGTTCCTCTGCATCTACGGTCTAACCATCTTCAAAATCAACGACGACAAGAACGTCCTCAGCTATACTTCTCCAGGTTTTGCTTCCTTCTTCTCTCTATATGTTACCGTCGTTTTCTGGGCAAGTAACTCATATGTTGTCTTATTAGAACTTTAGATTTCAGTGTCGGAATCAAATGTCCGGGGATTCGTGTTTGTGATCCCTTCTTCCTTTTTTGATTTAGGGTGTAGTTAACATGTTCTAATAGAGTGTATCATTTTCAGACATCTAAAGAATGTCTTTCTGCACCAAACTCGGAGCTTTACAGAAAAAAAATGTTCCAATGATATCAATGCTCTGCTTCATGTCCACAAAACTTTTCATTGCAGGTGGTAAAGTCTAACGTTCATTTGAATCTTTCTTATTTTGTGTATTAGCTTTGATGTTTTCTGTAACTGTTTTAATGTTCTAGCTGTTCTTAGGTCTATCACCCGGAACTGATGAACAATCCTTGAAGGATGCTTTCTCTACCTTCAACGGTGTTACAGAGGGTAAGAATCTGGATCTTGCTACTCTTTTTTAACTCTTCTATAGTAACGTGTGTGTTTATTTTTTAAACCTCTCAAGTATGTGTGATTGGGTTTTAAGTCGTCAGTACTCGTAGGCATTGAATGATTGATGTTTGATGAACATTTGCAACATGGTATCTGTGTTTTACTTTCTTGGACTGAACTATTTTGCTTAGTATAGTTAATCATTTTTCAGTCTTGTGCATTTTTAACAAAAGCCTTGTCGTGTGTCTTTGCTTTTGCAGAGAGCTATAGAAGATGAGAAGAAAGACAGTAAGGTAGTGAGCCGATNCAATTCTGCCAAAGTATGTTGATTCCTCGGTGAGAATCTACAATGGTAAAAAACTCATGTGCGTTGTAAGATCACTGAGGGGAAAGTTTGTCTTTACAAGAAAAGGAAATGGAGAGAGCTTCATTGGTAACAAGTATGTGTTATGATATTTGGTTTTTATTTTTGGCAATTGTATTATTGACTCACATGTTTAATAATTTAAAAAAAAATCCTAAGGACTCCTAAATGGAATCCACCATTGGACTGATTTTTTTGCTTAGAATCCTTAGCTATTTAATAAAAAAAAAAAAATTATTATATTGTCTAAGGACTCCACAATGGAATCCACCATTGTGGATGCTCTTAGAAACAGTCATAAGACAATGACTGGATTCGTTTTGAACTTAAAAAGTCTTTGAGACAATGATTGTGATACCTTGGCTTAGTCATAATACAATGACTCATTGGTTTTAAACTTAAAAAGTATCTGAGGCAATGATTGTGATACCTTTGGCTTAGAAACATTCGTAAGACAATAATTGATTGGTTTTGAACTTGTTGGATAGAAAAACAAATAATGATTACGGCTTATGAAATTGGATAATATTGATTTTTTTTTTTTTGATTAATCTGGGATATCCTAACCCATGGAAAAACCCAAACTAATCCTCAAAGAGAGTACAGCCCATGGCTTATGAAATTGGATAATATTGATACCTATGGTTTATGAAAAGTTTTTGGACAAAGACTCAACTGAAAACCAATTCATTGTATACCCAAAACTTCATGAAGTATTCATAGAAAGACTTAATCTGAAACGGTTTAATTGTTACCCACGGCTTATGAAGAGTCACTGCTACTTATGAAGAGTCTTTAAACAAACAGTTACCCACGGCTTTATGGAGATTTATGATACAATACTGTTGCCTACAGTTTGAGAAATGTCTTTAGACAAAGACTATGAATCTAAACCGAAACCATTGCTTTACAATGGCTCTATGAAGAAAATGATGCTTGGATTGTATGACATACTGGTACCACGGCTTGCATAAATGACAATGGCGTACAAATATATGAAACAAAGACGGCTTACACAAAACGTATTTAGACATACCAAAACATTTACCAGAAGATAGAGAAGTCTTCTTCATCGAATCTTATTCGCAAACAGATTTGAAAAAAAATCAAATATCATACTTAGAACCTGCGAGATATCCTGCTTACCTTGCTCCAAGCACACAGAACTTCGCCACGGAAGATACCCACTAATTATTAACCAAGAATCAAGAACATGAATGGCTCCAGTAAGTCACAAGTTTTGTAATCAAAATGTTGGATTTTTGGATGAAATTAGCAAGAAAATGAAAGAGAAATTGTAATTAATGGAAATAAAAATCAGTACAAAGTTCCAAATTACAACATTTTCTAAATCAAGATTTTAAAATATATGAACGGTTCTTCAAACAAATTTGTAATTAATGGAAATAAAAATAAGTTGAACAAAACAATAAGAAAGAAATGAAATTCAAAATATTTTTTTGAATACAACATTTTTTGTCTGCATATATACAAAGAACAAATCGAAATAATAAGAAAAGTTTACAAAAAAAATAAACTTTTCAGACCGTTTAATGCATTATGTGTCTGGAAAATCAAACCAGATCCACATGTTCCCACACAGACTTCCACCCTCTTATCTCTCTCTAGTCCTCCAATGGCGGACCACCACGACGGGGAAGAGATCCGCCACCATCAAAGACCACCATTTATTCCCAAAGAAATCATCCTTCAAGCCCTAAATACCATAATCCACCTCCACTTCGAGAAAACCCTTGAGAAAAAACGAGCCATTGACAACCAAAAGAAGAACCTTCACAACCTCTTCACTTTCTTTTTCATCTTCCTCGCCGTCATCTTTGCTTCCCTCTCTCAACCCTCTAGCCGTCTCCAATGCTGCCATTGTTTTTTTCTCTCTTTCTCTCACCTCATCTTTACATCTCAGTGGCACAGACATGTCCGTCTCATCTCTTTGTTGGGCCCAGTGCAAACTAAAATATTATAAGAGGAATATAAATTTTAGGGTCCCTGATTTATTTTAAAAGGGACTTAAATCCTAAATAAAAAGTTACAATTTTTTTTGGGCCTGTGCATAAGCACCTTGAACACATGCCCAAAACCGGGCTTGGGCACAGACCCTCTGTTGCATCAACTGGTTCAAATACCAGCATTGTTTCCATAAGCTAACGCTCGGCCTCGCCACGGAGAAGCTTCGATTCGTTAAGACTGTTGCAGCTTCTGCCGTTGGTGATGATGAGATCTCAGTTGCTGCTGCTGCCGGTGATCTAGAAGTGCCGTACCAGGAGCCGTCAGAGAGTTATTTGGGGAAGTTTAAGAGGAATTGGGCTCTTCATTTCGGGTTCTTGATCCTTTTCTATGCTTTTTTGGTCTCTTTCTCCATTGTAGTCATGTGTTTCTGATCTAAATGGAAAGGGCATTTTCGGAAATTCCCAATTTTAGAAAAAAAATACCCTAATCAGAAATAATTAGCAAAAGCATTAGAGATCGATTCCACTTTGAGTTCTATTTTTATTCATCTACAAAGGCTACACGGTTTCAGCATAGGCTGGTAATTCTGAAATGTAATAGCTTGTTCAATTGTCTGCTGATGGTAACAAAGAACACTAGTAGTGCAAAGGCAACGTTAGAAGTTCTTTTAACCGATTTGATGATTGCCCAAAAAGGATTAATCCAAAATTGAAAGAAGGTAAATGTTGGAAGTTTTAAATTAAAACATTTGCATTAATGAAATACTAGTGTGTTTCCCGTGCTGCGCACGGAGTAATTCTCTTATGTTTTCAATTATTTGTTGTGAAGGTATTAAAGACATGATTCGAATTAACAAACCAAAGTTAGATTAAATACTCACATAAAATCATTTTACCTTCTCAGCATTCTTACGCTTTGACTTTGTCCTTTCAGAATATGCATCATATTAATGCTGGTATGTTGGTATTGCTTACAACGCACTGGTTCAGGAGAACATAAGATTTCTCTGTCGTAAACATAACTTCTCTTTATTCAAGATTCCTCTACTAACTCTCTTCGATTATAAATTGGCTTGCTTATCACTATATATTTAACTAAATTAGAAATTAAGTTGTTTGTGGCGGGAACTTGACCAGTAGAAAACAATTGGTCACATGGTAGAAACCTGACCATCTCTGGCCATATAATACTAAAGTTTTAACTTTTAAGATAAAAACATTTACATCTTATGCAATGCTCTCATGCGTAGATACATTATTTTAATTGGTTGTAAGGTTTGTGTAGCTTGTATTATGTTTTTCTAATTATATTTTGAGCTCTAGTATGTTTCTTGTGCAACAGTTAGGAACATTGAAAAGCTGTAAATTGAGAATTGTTTAAAGCTGAAATTCAAATTTAATTTTATTAAAGTACACGTAATTTCAGAAATTCACTAAAGCATGGAAAATACATTTTCACTCAAACTCATGATTTTTTTTCTAATTTGGGCTGCAAATATATCGCAAAATTCCAATTTCATTGGAGCACACTCAATGTAAAACTAATACTAATTATGATTTTTGTTAAGATATTATATTTCTTATATAAAGTGGAAAAATATTCTAGTTTCTCTACTTATACATAATATTAGGACATGTTGATTTAGTATATTAACCAATAAATATATACTTGTTATTCAAGTGGCATTTAAAACAAAAGTAGCTTTTGACAGAAATAAAGAAAAAGAATGATATTGTAGGTTTTATCATCATAACTTTTTTTTTTTTTTTTTGAACTTTATCATCATAACTTTTTTGGCCGAAAAAATATCAATCTCATGGAAACAATTAGTGTAAAAAGGGTACTTCTTTATAATACAAAGTAAATAGAATACGTACTTCTTACCTGCAATTCTATTTTTGTTGATAGTCTTTTTTGAATAGAGTCAGGTTTTCTTTTGTCTTTTGACATTTTTTAAAATCTGCATCAGTTAGTTAGTATTAATTAGCAACGAAATACAATTTTTCTCAAGCATGCAAAGGCTACAAAACAAAATATAGTTTTCTAGAGGAGTGACATAGAAAGTGGAAAACTTCAATATAGTAATTTTTCCTCTCTGTCCCAGATTTTTGGATTTGGAAAAAAGTATAACCTTAAAGTTTTTGAAGAAACCTTTGCATGTGAGCGAATTAACAAAAAAAAGTTGTATTAAAAATAGAGAAAAGAGTGTGATCTAAAAAGATCAAGCGAAGGCAAAAAAAAACATATCACAACTTATCTTGGGAAAGAAGCAATGCATGACTACACCGGTTTGTAGATTGATTAGAGAAGGAGAAAAAATGTGTTAGTTTATAATTGACAGTCACAGAAATATGATAGTGAGGTAGGTAGTTCAAAAATAGAGGTAATTATAGGGGTAAATGGTGATCGTGGGGATTGGAAGGAGGAACTGTCGGTGAGATGGTAATTAAAATGTTTAGTTATTGCATCTTTATATTTTCTGTTTGATTTGTTTTTTATTTATTTTGTTTTTATTTAAATTGTAAAATATATGCCAAATGTTAAAATTTAATTGGTCCAGTGACTTGTGTAAAGGAATTGTTGAAAGTTATCTTCGAGAGACCTAAAAGGCTTTTTGATTGGCCCATAATAAAACGTTACACTTTGTTTCTTTAGCTATCCAGCCCAAAAAGTCAAACTACTAAAATCCACCAAGAAAAATAATTAAAATAATTATTAAATACGACAAAAAGACAGAACAGCAACAGCTTTAGGCTCAAAGGACAAGCGAGAAGAGCGAAGAAAACAAACACCGACTTTCACAGAAATCGCAGAGGAGAGATCCGTCCATAGTTACTGAATCTGTTATCTGATTCCGATGCCTTCCCGTAGAAGAACTCTCCTCAAAGTCATCATCCTCGGCGATAGCGGGTACGTCAACTCTCTATCTCTCTCTCTATCTATCTGTCTTCTTTAGGGTGATTTAGTGTCTTCGATCTGAATAGGGCTGATCTCTTAGGTTGTTGACTTCTGTCTTTTATGTAGCTTCCGGTAATTACTAATTAGTTGTAGTTAAATATTTTTACTTTGCTCTCATGGGTGGAATCGTGAGTCAGATCTCAGCAAAATAAGGATATATAGTCTGTCGTGATTCCATAAAAATTTAATTGTTATGTTCAATCAAGTTACAACTCTCACATAGAAAATTGCGATTTTTTTTGCAGGGTGGGAAAGACATCTTTGATGAATCAGTATCCTAAACTCTGTGTGAATGGGGTTTTAAGTGAAAGCTACAATACTTTCTCGAGATATGGATTAATACTATTATGTGGTCTCTGAGTTATATAAGATTAGTTTTGTGTTCTTGTTTCACTTTAACACCACGTTTTCAGATATGTTAATAAGAAGTTTAGCAACCAGTACAAAGCCACCATTGGAGCCGATTTCTTGACTAAGGAAGTACACTACGAAGACCGCCTTTTCACTTTACAGGTTTGTTTTGTAGCTGCGTTTTTATAAGAAAACTACTTTTTGCTTTTTTGTTTGACCATAAGATCAAAAGTCTTGAACTTTTATCAGATATGGGACACGGCTGGTCAAGAAAGGTTCCAGAGCCTTGGGGTAGCTTTTTACCGCGGTGCTGATTGCTGTGTACTTGTCTATGATGTCAACTCCGCAAAATCATTTGAGGATCTCAATAACTGGAGGGACGAGTTTCTGATCCAGGTATGTGTAGATTCATACCCCATTGTCTTTGCTCATTAAAAAGTATATTTTGCTTTAATGATTGGTTATTGTGATTTTTTACAGGCGAGTCCCTCTGATCCAGAGAACTTCCCCTTTGTTGTCATTGGTAACAAAATCGACGTAGATGGTGGAAACAGCCGTGTGGTTTCAGAGAAGAAGGCTCGAGCTTGGTGTGCTTCAAAAGGAAACATTCCGTACTATGAAACTTCTGCTAAAGAAGGCACCAATGTCGAAGATGCATTCATGTGTATTACCAAGGATGCGATGAAGAGTGGAGAAGAGGAGGAAATGTAAGTTTCAATGCTTTGATGGATCAGAGATTGTGTCTTGAAACTTGTGCTGATTGTGTTTGATGCATGGTCTTAGGTACTTGCCGGACACAATTGATGTCGGAACGAGCAATCCACAGAGGTCAACAGGATGTGAATGCTAAAAGGATTCTTTTACCTTTGATCTCGTTCTCTGAGGTTTTTACAATCTTGTAAATCTGTTGTCCTGTGGTAAATTATTGAAAATAAAAGCAAACCCTAACGTTATTTACCGTTGTTGTTGTTGTGCATTACATGTAAAGACTTTTGTTTCGTTACTCTACAATTTCACCAGTTATCCCTTTTAAGTATGTTTGAAGACGACGACTATGGGATTATACCGGTAATATTTTTTTAAGATTAACTTGTATATTCCTGAAAGTCATTTAGAGACAATTACGATGATAAGTATCCAAAATAAGACCTTGAGATGAAATGTAGAAATTATATATTATGTATAATACATTAACTAGATGATAACGCGCGCATGCGCGCGCGGGGTGAAATTTTTATACTAATATTTATTTACTAAATGGTTTTTAACATTTTGCAATAATACAGTATTTATCGATTATAAAATGATGAATACAAATGTTGGTATCTTAAATCATCATAGGTCTGGACGTTTGAGACTTTCGTCGGTTTTGGTTTGATTGAGACATATTTTCAGATTTTGGTATTATTCTCATAAATCCTATTTGAATTTTACTAATTATCGGATTGGATTCGATTTGATCTTTTCAATTCAGTTTGGAGTGGATTGTAACCAATATCTGAAATTATCCCAAAAAATATTTTTTAAACATGAAAAGTTGACAAAAAATTCAAAATATTTAAACTATTAATAAATCTAATTTAAAATTAGTTAAACTATCTAAACAAACTAAAAGATATTAAAAAAAAACAAATAAAATAAACTACAAAAATCTTTTGAATACTATAAGTTGTATCTACTAACCTCAAACCTTTTCACTGAAATTTTTAAATTAACATATTTATAATATGAATATCTACTAATAATACTTCATATTCGTACGATTTATGATAATTTGTATCTTGTTTGGAAAAAAAACAAAGTTAAACCATTGATCATAAAATTTTCAAGGAGGGATTTTACTATTTTTAGTTATTTACGGTCGTTTTAAAAATTAAAAATATAACCTATAAGAAAAAATTTAATTTTTTATTATATATTTAATGTGATTGTTTAATTTATTTTAATAATTTAAAATTAAACAAAAAAGAGAGAGGACACAAAAATATGTATTATTCATAATCATTAATTACATATATATGATAATCATATTAGGTAATTTCGTAGCTTTTATTTAAGGAAATAAAATATATTGTTTTATACCTATCAGAGTTGGTCCCTTACAAAATGTTTATATATTATAGTCCTAAATGCAAAAAAATTAATGTTACATTATTTCATTCCTAGCAAAGTTGATTCATTAAAAAATTAAGGCTGAGAAGCTCTGTGAGCTTGACACGTAAGCATGCTCTCAAAGGTTGTGCATTTATAAATGCTTCAGGATTAATATATAAGGGATTAAACAAATTTCAGAAAATATAGGAGAAAGATACAAAATCACTAAAGTGTAACTGATCATTTATTCAATTAGATAATCAAATCCATTTTATACATAAGAAACACAAAACTCACAAAAGATGACGAGGTTGTTTTTTTTAGTATTGGGTCGTACACATTACATCATCATCTAATTATTTTTTAACTTTATTACATATAATCATCAAATAATTTCTACGGATAATGATTTCATGATCAATTTCTCCACGAACCATTTAGATCGACAAATGATTCTGAATATACAACATATCTGACGGATAAGCTTTCTCCGCAGCAGACAATCACAATGAAAAGCTCGACCTACAGTATTTTGGAACTCCGAAAAATTTGCATCCTATAGTCTATAAAAAATTTCATAGTCTGATATTCAAACCCATGCCTGGATTTAAAATCTTTGAAACCTTAACTAATAGGTTAAGGTGCTTCCACAGATTACAAAGTTATTAAAAGTTGGTTTTTAATAATTATTGCAATTTCTTGAATTTTATTATTATTAATTTACAGATTCTAATATTCTTAGAATCTATAAATTTATTGGATTGTTTTAATTTTAATATTAATCGAAGTTCAAGTATTATTATTTTATTTGTTTTGATCAATGAAGTTCAAGTATTATTTATTTGATGGTTTTCAAGTTATATTCAATATTGCTTCTAATTCAAATGCCACTCACAAGCAGAGCGAAAACAAACAAAGCAGGGTATTCGTTGGGGGAAATCCTTTGATTAAAAATTATTCTATTGATATTTTTTTAATTCTAATATAGTTTAATGATTTTTAATAATTTAACACATTTTTTTTGTCAACTTTCATTTCATAAAGCCTTTTGGACAGTAACATGAATAGGAAACTAGGCGAATTAAACCCAACACATGAACATCAAAAATACAAAGCTCTTAAATACATATTTAGGGTTATGTGTAGAGTTACTTCAAAGTGGCGTTATCTTGTTTCTCTTGGAGGAACAAGGCTTGACTCCATTGTCATGGTTTCATCGACTTTGGCTCCACCGCTGGTGTCACCGCCGGTGAAAACTTCAATTGAAACCACCAGAAAACTTCTTACATCGCCTAACTATGGTGCTCGTTAATGATAATACCTTTCGTAATAGTCGGGACTAACTGATCGCAGAAGCCATGATTTGTGATTAATGAAACCGGAGAAAATTTGAGCCGAAGTGAAGAGAGATTAATTGTTGGACCGTTTCCAAACGCAAACTCTACCATTCTAATGTGAATCGGTAAAGACTGATTCTCTGTTCAGTTGAAACGACTAACAAGGTTTCTGAGTAATAGTCAACAGGATGAATAGAAAATTTATTCTGCAATTAAACATATAATTAATCTGATCAAAAGATCAGAAAACTAAACAAATAACAAAACAAAAATAATCTCATCAACCTTCTCTCTGAAAGGTGTAGAAGAGAGAACAGAGAGGTGAAAGAAAACCTTTAATTTAACTCATTAAACACTACTTTCAAAATATAATGTATACTAGGTGTTTTGCCCGCACTTGCGGGCTTAATAATTTTACTAATATCTATAAACAAATATATAATCAATTTAAGTAAATTATAATAAATTATTATGCATACACTCAAAACATTTAATAATAATCTAAACAGATTCTTTCTATATATAAAATTTTTCATCATCATATAAATAATTATCATTTCACAAATTAAATGTGAAATTCTCATAAATTTAAAATATTTAGTAAGAAATTAATATGTTTTCTAAACATAACAAAAAGAAGTATAATAAAATTAACTTTAGTAATGTTTTGGATAACACAATATAAATTATCTATACATATATTCTTTGCAAATTGATTTTTTCATAATTAAATATATATTAACAAATATAATCATTTTTAAAGGTTAATAAAGACTTTATAACATAATATGAAAAAGTTAGATAAGGATAATTAGCAAATTCATGCAATTCGTTTTTAATTTAGAATTAATTATATATTAACATATATAATTATTTTTCAAGGTTGATAAACATAATATAATTTTTAAAATAAGGATAATTATCAAATAAATGAAATTCGTTTTTAATTTATAATTAATTATATATTAACAAATATAATTATTTTTCAAGGTTAATAAAGACTTTATAACCCAATATAAAATAGTTTTAGATAAAGATAAATCTAAAATCAATTGAAATTCGTTTTTATTTATGTTTAATTATATATTGAAATTTTTAATTATTCATTAAGGGTATAAACGATATTAACCAGTCCAACTTTTAACGTAAGAGCTCCGTTGCGAAAAATCACTTCGCAAATAATAGTATAGATCTCTCAAAATTTTAAATTGCTATAAACTAAAATTTTGATAAATTTCCTGAATACAGAGCTCTCTACATATTTAACACTAAGTGATTTTCATGTTCTCATGCAGAGATATAATTTTATATAGTAAATACATTATAACAATTTATTACTATTTTGAACTTTAAATAATTTTAAATTTATATGAATAATTTTTATTAATAATCTTATTTATTTTAAATTAGAATGTAATTTTGGATAAATTAATATTTAGTCCCTTGTATTTAGTTATTATTTAATTATATTGAGTTGCATTTTTTCTCTGAATTTAGCCATGGCATTTTTGGTTCTAATATATTAATGTTTTGACAATTAACTATTTACATTTCGTTTGATTACTCTCTTACAATTGTGGGTATCTTGCGTTATATTTTCTCAAAGTTAAGGACACACATTTTAGATTAGTTAACAAAAAATTGATTAGTTTTGTTTGATCATGTGTAAATATATTTTTATAATTTTTATTATAACTTGATATTTTTTATTTTTATAATAATAGAAAAATTAATGATTATCAGTACAAGTTGAATAAAAAGACATAACCGATAAATATATGAAAATTCATGAACAGATATTAATATTTAAAAATAATTAAATTTATTATACAAATTATTTATAATTTTGTATTTTAGATGCATAAAATATAAATTTAAACATTCCAAATAGTCTTAGCCATAATAATTCATACTTTCCTCTGTTTCAGAATAAGTGTCACTTTGACATATTTTATGCAAATTAAATAATCAATAAAATATATTAATGTACTCTTATTTATTATTACAATTTTTTAAATGCAAATTATTTACCTAAACATCTATTGGTTTTTTATAAAAGTAAGAAAGACATCTAACTCACTACTAAAAGGGGGATACGAAGCTCAACTAGAGTGTCCACGACTTCACAAATAATCAGCCAATGGGGAGCTCCGATTTTGGCACGTCAGATATGAAGTTCTCAGGCATTTGGGCTTCAACACTTTTGGCCCATTTAAGAATACAAACTGGAGGCCCGTCCATTGAAGCCAAAAGCTCTGACTTTCGTTTCGGTTTCTTCTTCCTGTTCTTAGACATAACCTGCGTTTCATCCATTCTCAGATTTGTAACTAATAGCAATAAAATCCCTTCCGCCTACTTACTTCTAATCAATTCCATCCAGTCTCTTAATTCTAATTAATGGCTTCGTTTGGTTTTCCCCCTCCGATGACCTATAAAGAACCCTTGATTTTTATCACGATTTGCATCAGAAATTGTTTTACAAATCCACTTATTATACTGATGAAGATTAATGGTTCTTCCGAATCAGTGAAACTCAACGGCGAAGCTGCTGTCTCATCAATTCCGGTGACCTCCGGCGCTTCGAAAGATGTCTCCTCCGGCGATGTCGGATTGATGAAATCGAAAGTCC